GTTCTAGTGCGTTAGATAATCTAGCTGCTGAGATCCTTTAAAACAGTAGCCCTCTTACCCCGATCGCGGCCAAAGGTGGTTTAAACGGTGCTCAATTTCGTAACTGACTTGTGACTGATCTTGGTATAATTGACAGTAGAGAAAAAGAGACAGGTAAGGATAAGAATATTTTTACCGTTATCCAAAACTAAGATATAAACGTACTCATAACATGGGCTAGGCCTTGGATACTCTAAGCTAGAAACAACAACAAAGGGGAGATGACTATTCATGGTAATGCAATATACACTCTCTGAGAAACAGCCAAATGGCGTCAGGCTAACGGACTCGTAATCGTGAGATTGCAGGTTCGAGAGTTCGAGCCTCAGACGTTGTGTTCCTTGGAAAGGCATCCCATGCGAATTTCCCACTTGGCTCGGCCCCTTTCGGAAACGGACGTTAAACTCGGAGGTCCTGCTTCTTAAATAAGCCAAAAGTGTAGACAGGGGCGTTAAGCAAACACCATTTTCAGAAGCAGCTAAAACAGCTGGACAAACGTTTACCTGTTACATTGATACAACTGTTAAAACGTTCTTGATATGTCACAGATGATATAGTAAAAATGTGGCATAAGATGGGGTGTTTAATTAAAACATAAATGAAAGATTTAAATGACATTACTGAAAAGAGTTACGTCGGTAAATGGAAGTCACGTTAAAGGTAGAACTAGCACCAAAAAAGGCCTGTAATAAAATGGATGCTAAACGGTCACAGAGGGGCAACCTGTCTTTTTGAGCAGTCACTATTCTCCAAATTTGTTTACGGTGCACCTGAGATTAACTCATTCACTATGGAATATTGTATTTTCTTATTCTGTCGTAAGCTTTTCTTTCCGGAGCTCTGAACGGCATATCTTTATAGTGTGCACCTATTATTGGACAATATTGGACCTTTCATAGCGAAAGAGTTAAGCATACACTGTGCACAAATTTTGCATACTTAATGATAAGACGTCAAGTCGTTCCGGATCCTTGGGGGGAGTGGCTCTGTACTGTATGCCCAGGGGATGGGGGGTGTCACTGTACTGTATGCCCCGACCGTCGACCGGATCCCTGGGTACCCTAGTGGTGACGTCATCATGGCTTTCTTTACTGGTTGTTGAAGTGCTCTCAGCGATTCTCTTAAAATACACCGAATTATATTTGTTTTCTCTCTCTCTCTCTCTCTGTCTGTCTCTCTCTCTCTCTCTCCTCTCTCTCTGTCTGTCTCTCTCTCTCT